AAGGATTCTCGGGCCATATAAACAAAGGGTCTTGGTCTTGGGTTCAGTTGAATGGTTAAGAGGTATTCAGTATAGCATTCAACCAAGATCATATATAAGAGAAGATAAAATCTGATTGCAATGTAGTAAACATAATAAATACATTAGTAACTAAAGCAAAGGATAACATCTTTTTTTTTTCTTTTTTTTTTTTTTTTTGAGACGGCGTTTTGCTGTTGTTGTCCAGGCTAGAGTACATTGGCACGATCTTGGCTTACTGCAACCTCCGCCTCCCAGGTTCAAGTGATTCTCCTGCCTCAGCCTCCCTAGTAGCTGGGATTACAGGCATGTGCTACCACGCCTGGCTAATTTTGTATTTTTAATAGAGATGGGGTTTCTCCTTGTTGGTCAGGCTGGTCTCGAACTCCCGACCTCTTATGATCCTCCCGCCTTGGCCTCCCAACGGGTTGGGATTACAGGCGTGAGCCACTGCTCTGGGCCAACATCCCTTTTTAATGCTAGCTTGCCAACAGGGGTCAGAGTAAGAAGTAAATTTTTTTTTTCATGTGAAGCATGTTATAGTAATACCAGTTTTCGTTATAAAAGATAAGGGACATTGCCAACTATAAAGTTTTTCTATTAAGCAAGATAACAATAATAGGACTATTTGCGCATGGTAGCTATTCAGTGGATACTGGTTTTAATTTATATAGGTGAGTGCAGAAGATTGGAATTTTGTCCTACTTTGAGAAATGTGTAGGTTTTATAAATTTTATTTAGATTTTATTTTTCCATAAAGTTTATTGTTTTTACTTGGTTTAAACTAGGAGTTTTTGTTGTTGTTTTTAAAACAGGGTCTCACTCTGTCGCCCAGGCTGGAGTGTAGTGGCACAATCGTAGTGTACTGCAGCCTCGATCTCCTGAGCTCAAGTGATCCTTGTTAGCTTATCCTCCCGAGTAGCTGGAACTACAGGCACGTGTCACCACACCAGCTAAGTCTTTATTTTTTACAGATAAGGGGTCTCACCTTGTTGCCCAGGCTGGTCTCAAACTCCTGGGCTCAGGCGATCTTCCCGCCTCAGCCTCCCAAAGTGCTGGGGTTACAGGCAGAAGCCGCTGCACTCAGTCTAAACTAGGAGTTGTTATTGTTTTGTTAATTGACTTGTAATAGAAATGTTCACATGATTCAAGATTTATGTTGTGTAATAAATACATCATGTGTCCATGTGAGTCAAGCTTCCATAGAAGCAAAATGATATCCAGCAAAATGTTTTCCTTTCATCCTTGTCTCCCAGCTACCCAATTCCTCTCCATGTATGCAGTCTGTCTTACTATTTATTTCTTTTGTATCCTTCCAGAGATATTTTAGGTTTCTAAAGTTTTTAATACTTGGCCTTTCTACTATGTGCATCATAGGCCTTGTAGACTTGTACTAATCACATGTTCATTCAGACATTGTAGGACTTTTCTTGAATGTTTTGAGGGTAAAAGATTAATTCAAAAGGAGTCAAATAGGCTAGTAGGAAAGTCTTTAATCTAGTAGGGGAGAAAAAATTATGGAAATAACTATTAATGTATGGTAGAAATTGCTTCTTACTGTTACAGACATTTTTTAAAAGTATACTTACTAGAAGTTGGCTGGATATAGTGGCTCATGCCTGTAATCCCAGCACTTTGGGAGTCCAAGGTGGGCGGATCATGAGGTCAAGAGTTCAATACCAGCCTGGCCAACATAGTGAAACCCCGTCTCTACTAAAAATACAGAAATTAACTGGGTGTGGTGGCATGCGCCTGTAGTCCCAGCTACTTGGGAGGCTGAGGCATGATAATCACTTGAACCCAGGAGGCGGAGATTGCAGTGAGCCGAGACGATGCCATAGCACTCCAGCCTGGGTCAGAGAGTGAGAGAGACTCCGTCTCAAAAAAAAAATATATATATATACTAGAAGTTCAGTGAAAGGAGAAATTTACAAATTGAGTGGAGGATTGGAGAAGATTTGAGGTTGAGGTTATATTTGAGCTGAATTTTAAAGATGAGGAGGAGTTGAATATTTTAGGAAGAGGAAGTACTCTGAACAGAAGCAAGACAAGAGGAAAGTAAAGGGTTTGTACAACATACATTTTTATTTTAAAACAATGAGTACCAGGCACTATGCTCAGTTTTGCAGTTGCAATGGCAAATAAAACGGACACAGTCTCTTTTTATGAGACAGAGTTTCTCTCTGTCACCCAGACTGGAGTGCGGTGGTGCGATCTCAGCTTACTGCAACCTCTGCTCCCGAGTTCAAGTGATTCTCCTGCCGCAGCCACCCGAGTAGGCTGGTCTCAAACTCCTGACCTCAGATGATCCGCCCACCTCAGCCTCCCAAAGTGTTGGGATTACAGGTGTGAGCCACTGCACCTGGCAGACACAGACTCTTATGGATGCCTTGCCTTATGGAGCTTACTGTCTAGTGGGGAAATGGATTTTTATTTTTTTGAGCTGGAGCCTAGCTCTGTCGCCCAAGCTGGAGTGCAGTGGTGTGATCTCGGCTCACCGCAACCTCCACCTCCTGCTTCAGCCTCCGGAGTAGCTGGGATTACAGGCGCTCACCACCACACCCAGCTCATTTTTGTATTTGTAGTAGAGACAGGGTTTCAGTCTGTTGACCAGGCTGGTCTTGAACTCCTGACCTCATGATCCTCCTACTTGGGCCTCACAAAGTGCTGGATTACAAGCGTGAGCCACCACGCCTGGCCAAGAAATATATATTAATCAAAAAATTACACAGATGTAAAACCACATCTGGTAAGTAGTATGAGCGTCCAGTCTACTGGGGAAATGGATATTAATCAAATAGTCACACAGATGTAAAGCCACATCTGGTAAGTAGTATGAGGGAAAGATACCTAGTGCTCTGATTGTCAGTAGTGGAGGATTTGATCTAGGTAGAGAGGTCAGGGTAGGCTTTCTCAGAGGAAGTGATCCATGTACTGAGACATGAAGGATGATAAATAGGCCAAGGGGAGAGAGAACGGCCTTCCAGGAGGGAACCTGATGAGTATGAGGGACAGAAAATACGTCAGTGTGGCTGGAGCACAGAGAACAAAAGTGATGCTGGTTTAAGATAAGATGAGGTAGTGGGCTGGGGCCAAAACATAGGGAAAACATTTTGAGTTGTAAGCAAAAAGTATTTAAGGTGTGGGGATTGGTTATATAATTATTTTGCATTTTAAGAGATTATTCCTGACTTTAGTATGGAGAACAGGTTGGAAGGAGACCTTAGAAGTATGGTAGATCCATTAGGAAATAGGTAGTGGAGGAGATAGAAATGGACAGATTTAGTAAGTACAATCTGCAGAACTTGGCAATAGATTTGAAATAGGGATGAGGAACAGGGTGGTAAGGATGACATCTAGTATTTGGCTCACATAATGCAGAGATCATTTGATCTAGATTTTTTTTCCTTTTTTTTTTTTGGAGACGAGG